AAAATGCTGGGAGGAATCCTGTTAAAAGATGTCAAAGAGTTGACACCTTCCAGCAGAAGAACAACCATTTGGAAGACCCGGAGACATTTGGTCTTCCAAATAAAAGGCCATTAAAATACATCAAAGTTTAGAGTTGCATAATGTGACAAAAGGGGAAAAAGTCTTGCTAAGCACTAGTCTGTATACATTTCCCCCCTCCTCTCACCGCAGCTCTCCCCCACCCCCATCATCCTCCATAGCAGCATCACCTCTGGGCAGGTCGTGGGGGCAATGAAGGCAGATTTCTGACACAACCCCCTCCCCAAACTGTCCATAGCGTCTAGACTCAATTTCAGCTTTTCCCATCAAGGAGAATGAGTGAAAGAGAGAGGAAAAAGAAACTTACCCAAGGGTTAAAAACTTTTCCAATTAACCCTAATTACCCAAAGAGAGCATTTCAATGAGCCCTGTAACCTGAGATGTCTATCAGCTCAGTGGCTCAGGCAAGGAAGTGGTATCTTTCATCTTGAAGTTCAACCACAGGAAACGTGACATTTGAATATTGACAGCAGTGATTTAAGAGCGTGGAAGTAACACCTAGATACTCTCCCTCCTTGTGACAGAATACATGTATCACGGCCTGTGCATAAGATGAAAACCCAACCCCTGGCTTCCGGGTGAGCATCCCTGTGTCGCTGATGCTTCTGCAGATAAGATAAACCCTGCTGCTTTACTGTTAGGGTGAAAACACGGAGAGGTCGTACAGTCTTATAGAAAAACTACAAAACAAATGATACCTTTCAGCTCATCTAGTGCAAGCACATACATCTACACAGCACAACACCCTCATAAACAGCTATAAAGTGGGATGGTGAAGCATTACATAGTTACTGATTGATTCGCTCCTCACTATGTAATACCACGGTTTCCAACGGTGCTTCTTTGATTGTGACCCTTTGAGTGACCTGTGTAATTGGTTCGCACAAATCACTAACGACAGGGGCAGAGGGGGTTTCCCACCCCTCATATAAATGTGTGTGTGGGTGGGTGAGTGCACAGTGCTGGCCACTGATCTAGTTCACAGATTACTTTCTAGAAGAGAGACACCTGGTCACAGTTACCCTTTGACACCAACAGGAATATTTCTGTGATCACATGGAAATAAAACGAATGTTAAATCTGTTAATCTGGTCAGCAGGAGTTTCATTTAGACGGACATCCATCCTGGTAGTGCTGCGGATGTTGGGCCTTACCATGACTCGTCAATATACTCACAAGATCATGTGTAATTGTGAAAAGGAAGGAAAATGAAGCATGTTTGGTACATTTTACACATAAAATATTTAAAAGACTTATTTTTGGATTCAGTTGCCACATGTTCTAAAACGGATTAAGCACTGAACTTACTAGGCCATTCTAACACATTAACATGCCTTGATCTAAACCAGGTTTTCTTCCAGTATTGTTGTGCATGTAGCTCCATCCATATTCACTTCAACTCTAACCACCTTCCCTGTCTCTGCTGAAACAATGCAACTCCACAGCATGATGCTGCCACCACCATTTTCCACAGTGGATGCGGTGTGTTTAGGGTGTTAGGTTTTAGCTACATTTAGATCAAATATATTTTTAGTTTCAGCTCACCAAACCAACATTTTCTGTATACTTGCAGTGTGACTTATCATTTTTTATTTTTTAAGAATCTCTTTCCTCTTGCTGCTCTTCCGTCAAATTTGTAAAGCGTAATGCTTTTATTGTATTTACCTGTTGGTCTTTGCAGCTCCTCCAGAGTTATCACAGCCATCTTGACTGCTTTTATGCTCTCTTTGGTCAACTTGGGTGAACATTCATGCTTTAGTAGGCTGTTGTGCTCTATATTGTCAGATGATTCATTGAACAGAGCTCTGTGAGATGCTAGGAGCTTGGCATGTTGTTTTATGGCTTCTAACTAATTTAAATTGGTCTTCATGATGCTGTTTGTCGACTCTTACAGACCTCTGAAGCCTTCACGGAACAGTTGGATTTATTCTGAGGTTAAATTACACACAGATTGAATCTGTTTGCTATTTAGAGAATTTCTGAAGCCTATTGATTTTATTTATAACTATCAAAATAAAGGCATCTGTATACAATATTTTCAGATTTTTATTTGTAGAGAAATGTTTAAGACCATGTATTATTTTTCTTTTTACTTCACGACGATGCTCGGTTTCATAGAATAAACCCCAATAACTGCATTCGGAGTTGCCCTTGTAACGTAAAAAATATGAAAAAGTTCAAGTACAAATACTTTTCCAAGGCACTTTATATTCTGATTAGCAACTGATTTACAATGTGTGCTCTTGACATTGTTGACATTCCAACAATCAAAGCATATTTAGCAGGAAGAATATGCTTAAAATTTGCAGATGTTTATGATGTTTCAACAGTAGAATTTCACAATCTTCTTCCAAGGCTTGCCTAAAAATACCATGCTTTCAGTATTTGTCCTTGGCTCACTGCTGGCCTTGATGCAAGCTTTCCTTTCACTCCACATGATTTAGCAAGCTGCCTTTACTAATCAGAGTGTGAAAGCTAACATCGGATCTGTCCACCTTTCAGGCGGACATAAATCTTTCCGAAGTAAAAATTACTGGAAAAGCTGTGGTTAAGTCCAATAGAACAAGAGGTAGATGCAGTAAGAACTGAGGCATGCTTGAAAAATGCATTTCATTTTTGTTTAGGCTTGTGGCTGTGGAGATTTATGCACGTCAATATGACTTCGGGTCATATGAGTCTTCACATTTTATTGTGCCAGGACCGTGATGCTAGAAACTCTTACAGCTACCATGCAGGTGTGTATTTTTTTATAATTCGTGGAAACACAAACACAGTTTGTTAATCAAATATGGATTTCCACTGCAAGATTTCACAAAAAAAAATAAATAAAAGTAGACTGTGGCAAAAAGAAAAAAGTCATTCAGTTCTGATTTTTATTTTTGGTTTGATATCACAAAAGACACAAGGATCGAGCTGATTATCTGATATTTGTAAAAGCTACATTTAAAGTGAGTTGGGAAAAGTTTAAATAGAGAAGTGTTTTTCTGACTTACAACTATGGCCCAGTCTTTTGGGACCGTCGTTATTCCAAGATTCAATTTTTGAGACAATTCTAATGCTTCATGATGGCCCTTTTCCAAAAGTTCTAGATGATTTATAAGGGTTTTCCACTAGTATTGTGGAAAACCACAATACTAGTGGTTTTCTAAAAAGAGTAAAAAGCACCCTTTTTAGAGTGCTTTTTAGACTGGCACTCTAAAAAGAGAGTGCTAGTCTCTCTTTTTAGTTTTTTTTTTTTTTTTTTGCTGGGGTTCTAAATGTGCAAAGTGGAGCTTAAAATGTGACATCAGAAGAGTGTCGGTCACTGCTTGGCTAGGGTGTTGCATCACAAAAGTGACTCTCACTCTACTTTACGTCTCTGCCCACAGACTTCTCTGGTTCTTTTCTTTTTTGAGTCAAACAAAAAGCCCCAGACTGAGCAGGCTGCTCAACATATCCTCCATATCCTCCACTGTTGCGTTTGTGCAACATACACATCTCGCTGCTCTAAGTTTTGGACTCTGAGGTCGACCAATAAGTCGACAACACTCACTAGACTTGTAATGGAAAACCACCAGAACTGTGTAAATGAGCCGAGTCGAGCCACGCTTTAGAGGTGCTAGTGGAAAAGGGCCATAAGTCTCTCTATGTTAGTGGCGGATTTAATAGTGGCAATATGGTTTACTACCCAGCGAGGCATGACCTAGGGAACACCTGGAATAAAGTCGTCAGTCTGATACAACCCAACAATTTTTTGTTGCTTCGTTTACATGTCAGCTCCACAGTGAGTAGAATGTTAGCAACGTAAAAATAATGCTATACAATGCAATTGGGTATTAAAGCTGAAATTTTATTTCGCTTAGATGTAATAGTTCTTTACATGTTTCTTATAACGTGGAACTAAACCCGATGTAAAAGCATAAGCTCCGGACATATTTCGGGAAATTCCACCAAAGTGGGCAGTGCTAAGAGACACCGAGGGGCGTGGCCAAGTGTGGGGAGGAGGAGCAGAGGGAGTTAAACAGGGGTGTGGTCAAGGAGAGGGAAAGTGACAGCTAGCTTGAAACATGAAGAGTGACCAGCGCAACGCTGGTAGTTTCGCCACAGATCGGTCTTTTAAGGTAAAGAATTTCTATCCATCATCACCAGAGGTGAAGGTAGGCTTTGTGGAGTCCAGCAGGTTCAAACCTAATCAGCTCAAGCTCAAGGCGCTGACTCAGCGAGTCCTGTAGCTAGCACAATGCTAATTAAATTAAAAGCCTATTCTAACTAATAAGTAATAAAATGCTAACCTGAAAATGTTATCAATTAATGCCTACAATTCCAACTCCTGACTTGCTATGTCTGTGTGAGATGGTTTTATACCTGATGCAGGGTTGTGACGAAGACATCGACCAAGTTGTACCGTTTGTTACCAACAGGAAGATTAAACTCCTAACCCAAAAACATCAAAAACGAAATTATATGAAAACGTCACTATTTGCACAGTAACATAAAGAAAGCACCTTTAAAGTGCAGTTAATCTGCAAATGAAATGTTGATTTGGGGTTTAGCTAATCTTTAAAAAACTTCATTGATTGTTATTGAAAATACAATGTCAATCCAATTTATTGAGGTAATAGCTTATAAAGTTAAGTTAAATACTAGAAAATATATTTTTTTTAAGAATAGACTTTGACTGGTTTGCTTAACATCAACTAAAATCGCTGTTCAAATCACATTTTCAGTTGTTCTCTACACAAAATAATTTGGTGAAAGCATATTTTTTTCTCTCTTTAAAAAAAAAAAAAAAAAAAAAGTATAAACAACAGTTTTTATACATATATAATTACCTCCCAGTCAAGCACCACCACCGCCACCTGCACCCTGATCGTGCTTCAAGCCCCAATCAAAAGTTTGCAGCCCTGCTCAGCCCCATGTGATGTCACCACCAGAGGCACGTACCTGTGGAAGCTCGGGGAGGCTGGGTTTTATCTCGATTAAAACCGTTCACAGCGAATTTGCTAAACAGCGAGGTTGTATATTGTTCTGTAGGCGGTAACTGCATCTAAAGTGATTGTGCTGTTTTTTTACAGAAAAGTGTGAGAAGCAGCTTTAAGGTTGAGGGGCGGTGCTGTGTGCTAGCTTGCCTCATTATTATGGAGGCAACTCCCCTTCGCTGAACTTGTGTAGCTAGGGCTCAGACTCGGACCAGCAGTCAGTGAGTCAGTCTGCAGTGGGATCGGCCGCCGCATGGCTTCTGCGTAAACTTTCCTCAGCAACAAGTGGAGACGAAGAGCAGACGCTCCGGAGTGTTTGACGGACCTACCAGGAAAGAAACCACAGCTCTTCTATGAATCTGGAACCTGTGCTCCGCTAAGCAAACTGCTGTTTCCCCCCCATTCGTGCATGTTCAAACCAGAGGAGAGCTCTGGTGCCGTGGGTCGGCCGGACGACTAGTACAAACGAGTGGCAAACAGCAGGCATGATTTTGAGACGCAGCTCCGCGGTTGCTGCCTTCTTCCTGCTCTGCTTTCTTGTGGAGGTATGTGGATCTGTTGTTGGTCGGGGAGCAGCGGGAAAGGTCACTCGGTTCGGCTGAGTGGATGCACCGCTGTGTTCTGTGTGCTAGCTCGACATGCAGCCGTGCTTCCAGGAGAGGTTCGGGTCTGCACGCTGAATAACCACTCTTCTGTCTCCCAACAGGTGTCGCAGGGATCGGGACAATTCGAGCTGCAGATCTTGTCGATGCACAACGCGAACGGAGAGTTGCCCAACGGCATGTGTTGCGATGGCGCACGGAGCGCAGCGGATCGAAAGTGCGCACGGAGCGAGTGCGACACGTTTTTCAAAGTTTGTCTGAAGGAATACCAGTCCAGGGTTTCCGCTGCGGGGCCCTGCAGCTTCGGAATGGGATCTACGCCTGTCCTCGGAGGGAATACGTTTTCTTTCAGGAGTCCTGTCAGGAATGACAAATCCAGGATAGTTTTGCCCTTCAGCTTTGCCTGGCCGGTGAGTGGAGGCTTAAATAATCATTAAAAAAAAAAAAAAAAAACATTTCCTGATTTCCATCCCCAAATAAAACGTATAGAGAAGTGAAAATAGGTGTTCGGAAGGCAGATGTATGTCCTTACATCACCTTCACTGGGGCCGGGACGAAACATATGAAAACTTTGTGACTTTTTATGTGTCTCCTTTTTTCCTGGGAAGCCCAGGAAAGTTTGAATTTACAGACAAGTTTGAAAACCTACCAGAAGTAAACACATTTTATGTATGAAAGACAACATTCTAATAAAAACACCAAAACATTATACTCGTTGGAAAAAAAAAAAAAACTTTAATGCACACTTAAACTACTTGTAAATACATCAATGGTTAGTCTTTTTTTTTCTCATTGTTGCTTGGTAATGCAAAATCAAATAAGACATATAAAATGCAAAAACAAGATAAAAAAAGATGTTAGAAAAATTTAGCATGGACAATATAAACAGGAAGTCTGTGCTGCTGTGGTGACTTGTGGGGTCCCAAATTAAATTTGCTCCGGGCCTCATTCAGACTTGGATCGACTCTGACTTTAACGTCCCCCTCCCCCTTTAAAAAGTGGATAGAAAAGGCAACAAACAAAGGAAAAGTTTCCCTTTGGAATCCTTCTTTTTTTGACACCCCCTGACCCTGGTCCCCAGATTGTGTGCACTAATTTACAATGTGCAGGTATTTTAGTCCACCAGGCCTAGACCTGTCCATCATAATTGGTTTAGGTTGTTAAAGTACTTTGCATATTGTTAAACTTGGAATTTGACTTGGGGTGAAACTTGGTTGCTAATTCGAAATTATGATTTGAAGTTAATTATAGCCATCTGACACGTATCAGTTTGAGTAAAGATGAAAGTGTCTCCAGTTATTTCATTCCTGTGTCTTGCTTTGTGTGTGACAGTGTTAAAAGCAGTCGTTGAAATAGAGATGCCCAAAAGTCGTACAATATTTCTGCAATCAGCTTTGATCTGGTGTCGGATATTGTAAACGTGAGCATTTTTTTTTTATTCATTAGATTTATTGAAACCATGCTTTACACATTGACTGATGGCATGTACTGTTCAGATACATGTCAAAAAAAAATCTCGAAATCCCTTCAGTTTGTGTTGGATGCAAAACCAGAAAACCTGCAACACTTTTTTTTTTCTCCACTACACATCATACTCCTTAGATTACAATTATCTGTTAGGGAACCCCTATTGGTGCAATCTTTACTTTATTTGATCCTGTTTGCATAATCTTAACAGATAACAGTTGACATGAAACGGTTTAAATCACAGATTTCCTCTCCTCTGCCTCCTCTGGTTGCTTCTCAAGTTGCAGCAACTCCAGAGTAGAAAGAAAAGAGAAAACTTTCTGGTTTCTTTGGGTCACACATCTCGTCTTCTTTTGGTAAATAAACGACCCTGACAAGCGGGAGTGCTGGAGCTTTGTGAGAGAGATGATTTGCCATGCTGGAACACATTTCCATGAAGTGAAAAAAAAAAAAGGGACCGTGCACAGACTGACTGGCCCCAGAGCTTGGCCCACAAACTCCTCCACTGTGCCTGATAGCTGAAAGGCACAGTCTGCTGGTATGTGTGTGTGTCCAATTACATCAAGGCTATTTTTACCTCAATCGTGATGGAAGTTCTTCTTGTAATATCTTGCATTATTCACGCTGATTTGTTGTTTCCATCAATCATGACCGGTTTTTGTCTCTGATATATGAGGTAGATCCTATCAGTTAATGTCAAAAAAAAAAAAAAAGAAAAGGACGTTTGTGTTGGCTTGTGGGAATTTGATGCTTTGTGCTTTTTATTTGTGCTCTACTTGGAGCCTGGCGTCTTGCATATTTTTTTAAACAACAAAGGTTTCTGTTTACATTCCCATTCTGGCAGCATTAGGTTTGCGTGAACCCTTGCAACAGCACTAGAGCAGAGATGGACAACAAACTTGGTGCCTTGTAAAGTTTGAGGGCTCTTGGTTGTACTCTTTCAGTTTCATGCATACTAAAAAAAAAACAAAACAAAAAAAAACATTTTCTTGCCATACAATGAAATAAGAACATCTGGATTGTTTGGGCCACTGTTCCAATTCAAAGGGCTTTGGTGCAGACAGCCCTTGAATTAGATTCAGATTCAGTTGATTGGCTGTTGTGGACAGATGGCAGTGTGGTGCAATTGGGCTTGTTGGGTCCTGAGAGTTCATGAAGCCCTCTCCCCCACCCCTCTTCGTCCCTTCATCCTCTCTTGTGAGCTGCATGAAGTTGGCCTCTTGTCCAGACCGAGGGCTTTGTTTAAATCACGCTCGGTTGGACCGCAGGCATTTCATCGCTTTAACCTTGCCACCCACGGTAACTGCTGCACTTAATGAGGCTGCACACATGTCCTCAGATCAGGTAGGGCAAGAACCAGGCGTCCAGTTGAACTGGACGATGTTGGCTGGACCTCTTTAACACAAGCGAACCGCTGTTTCGGAGACTTGTTGGGTTCAGGGTGTCTGCTTGGGGCTTTTATTCCACAAGAGAAGTGAGGTCCCAGCTCCACTGGCCCTCACGGTGTATCAAGTAGAGACAATAGGGTGCCCTCTGTGACTACAGTGAGGATTACAGAACATAATGGAGGTAGCGCAGCTGTAAAGCCAGTGCAGGGCAAGCAACAGGAAACAGTTGTCGTAGACTCAGCAATGATGGAAGACCACATCTCTCTGGCTTCATCAGCATATTTGGTCACCTAGGAAAAAGTGAGAAGAATTTTTACATTTATCTTTTGTTTGAAAGTCAGTAATTGAGTAAAGACATCACAGGTTGGATTTTGATTTGTCTTCATGTTGGGCCAGAACTCGTATCGAGAAGTAGCAAAGTTGGAAAAAATGTCTGGTTTCACATTGCTTAAGACTTTCTGTTAAATCTTTTCTATACCTTGAAGTCATTTCTTTAAGGAAAAATTAGAGCAATTTCATGAGTGACCCACCTTTTCTGCACTAGTTGCTGTGCACTGCTGGTCAGCTGATTGAAAGAAGGCTCCTAGACTTACAAGAAAGACAAATATGGCTGCTTGAAAATATTGCAGTTGCAAAAACACAGAAAATCATGGTGTAGAAACAAAAGATTTATCATTCCTATTCGGGTGTATTTTTAAGCTACAGCTGGCAAACCCCAAACGGCATCCCCCTCAACTAGAATTGGTAGCTTAATTAGGTAACTAGTCAGTACCAGCTTGTTATACTTGGGCTAAGGTCCTAAAGACAAAAAGCTGCACTACTACATATGCATGAATTAATTGGCCAAAGATCAGAATCATATGGTTAGGAAGATATGCATTGAAGCTTAAATTGAGATTCTTTTAGGATTCTGGTGTAAAAATTCTGTGCACTGCTGGTCAGCTGATTGAAAGAAGGCTCCTCTATTATTATTTAAGTGGTGGCACAAATAACATTTTTGTTTTAGATCTTATGTAAATACCATCGCCTTATTTTTAGTTCTGCTACCGTGAGAACTCCATACTGTTTTTTTTTTTTTTTTGGTACTTTAACTACCTAATCCATTTAAATCAGATGACATAATTCAATTTTTCTCCCATCTTCCCCTTCATGCACAGTGTTGTAGTGTTACTCTGAGCTGGGACATGTTAATATCCCTGTGATTGATTTTTCTTGACGAGCCAAAGCGGTCTGAAAACACGAAGGTGTGTCGAAGAACAATAGGCGGCTCAGCCTGAAGGATAATTGCTGTTGGCTGCTGTGGGAGTAATGGCATGTTTGTTTTATGTACTCTTCTCTGATGTGGCAGTTAAATGCAGATTAGTCGAGTGAAAGAGGGAAAAGAATGTCTCTCTTGTACCTCACCCTGTTCTGCTTCCTTTTTTTTTTCCACCTTTTTAAAATTTGTACTTGCAGTGCTTTTCGCTGTGACATTGCATAATGGCTTCTGACGCTTCACTGCTTATCAGACTTGTTTTGAAGTTAAACAGAAGCATGGCATCACATGCTTTCTGAGGCACATTTAATCGAGATAACCTGTGCTTTGTTTGCATTTCCGTTAATGGAGGCTGACCCGTGCCAAAAAGCGATCCCTCGCTCTCCCTAAGCTTGTTTAGTTAAATGCACAACATGGCTTTCATCTCTTGTCTGGGGGTTCGTGTTGTGATCTTGTTTGCCTTGTGAAAAAAGGTCTGTTTGTGGTGTCTTTGTTTATGTTGGCAAAAGGTGAGATTTCTTGCAGTTGAGATTCCGATGTATCCTTCGTGGAATATTTATTGAGCCGTTATTTAGATGGGTCATGTTGGGACGGGGATATTTACATTGTTTGACTACATTAGAGTTGTCATTTTATATCTCGGACTGTCACATAGGTGTTATATCAACCATCTTGCCATTCTTTGGCTAGAGCTGCTGAAGAAATCTGATACAAAGCGTCAAGATCTCTTTGACTTGTTCTGTTTGCATTTCCTTTATTCTGATTGTGGATCCTTGTTTATCTTCAACCTTTTTCAACCAAGACTAAGCTCTTCTTTTATACCTTACGCTTGAAGTTAGGCTTGTGCTGAATACTTTTTTGACAGAGTGTATTAGAATTTTAAAAAAAGAAAATTCAACTAAACTTTTCCTTCCATCCTTTGTTTTATGGTTGAAGTCCTCTCAGAGAGATGTTGGAGTGAGTGAAGTTTTCTCCTGCTGTTGCTGGGCACTGCTGACCATGTCGTTTAAAAAAAATACACACTTACAAAGACAAATTTGGCAGTTTAGGAAAAGATGAGGTAACAAAACAGGCAGCCATGGCGTATAAACTTAACAAATTTTCATTTCCTTTGTTTTAATTGAAGACAGAGATGTTGTCTCGGATCTAACATTTCTGTTTTTCTTTTATGAGCAGTTGCCTTCATATAAAGTCGAGCTAAATCTCAATACCAGTATTGAGATTCAGAAAGTTTCAGAATGGTAACATTTCCACTACGCATTACCAAAATAAGATTACTAGGATGACTTAAGCTTTCTCTGCCTGTTGCCTGTGCACTGCCAGTGAGCTGGCTTAAAGAAGGGCACACTTACAAAAAAAACCCTCCTCCTTTGGAAATATTTTTAGTCACGAAAAACAGTCATAATGTGCAAACTAAAGGAGTTTGCATTTCCGTCCTGCAGATTGACGACCTCAGTTTATTTTCAACCTTTAGCTTTTGCCTGTTTTTCCAAGACGCATGCCTCTCCTTATTTTGTTATATTTCTTAGTAATAGCACATCAGATGGGTTCATTTTTTACAGTGGAGGACAGGGGGAGTGTGTTAGAAAATTCCCCTACTGAGAGGATTTAGTTGTGTTCTTTGGCAAGTGAGTGTGGTTTGAACTGGAAGGATCTTTATCGCCTGTGTTGGTTGTCTGTAGGACAGTGCCTGCTCGGCCAGGAAAGATAAGAAGACGTATGGCCACACTTACTGCACTTGGGTGTGTGTGTTTATATGTGTGTGTTGGAGAGAGGGAGTGTGTTCTCTGTAGTTCAAAGAAAAGCGGTGAGTCAGCTGGAAGCCTGGGAAAAGTGAACCTGGCAGTGGCAAGACGGTTTCAAGCTGATAAGAGTGGAGGAGTTATGGAGTGTTAGTGAATGAGGAGTGGGGCTGTGTTTTACTCTCTGCAAGTTTTTTTTTTTTGTTTTGTTTTGTTTTGTTTTGTCTGTCTGAAATGGTGACCTTTTAGGCTTATTCAAAGTAACATCAAAGACTGTTTTAATCATTTTTAGGGCTAAGACTAATGTATAATCAGCCTTGTTGGGATTAAAGTGCTTCAGTGGCCTCCATGCCAAGGCAAGCCCAAGTCGTGTAAGATCTGGGTGTGTTTTTGTCTTTTGTGAATGTGTCTTAAAGGTATTAAGATCTGAGGCGCCCTGTGAATTTAATGTGCCAGTTTTTTGTGTATTTCAGCTTATAACAGAGAGCAGGGTTTCCATCCTGCCAGTCATTGACGCAGTATGACGTTTCATTGTTTGTTGATGTTTTCTCTTGGCAGAGATCCAGTGCTGTTCGTAGCACAACAGTTAGGGAAATGCTTCTGCAATGTAAAAAACAGAATGTACAGATCGCTAAAGGATTATTCAACTGAGATAGGCTTTGGTATCATAGTATAACTCGCCAAGGTTTAAAACTGTGCTCTGATTTTTGTATTTTACCTTTTTATTTTTTATTTTTGGTTTAAATTTCTTCTTAATAAAATGCCTGTGAAAATACAGAAGCATCTACAACATAAATAGCCTTTTAACGTATCTACAAAAGTATAGAATTTTAAAGTTCACAAATGTTTAGTCCATATAATATTTTATGGTTATCTAATTTTAATCCTTTTTTGATGCCAAAAAAGTATTGAAAATTTCCCTTTTATTGCTTTTTCTGTAAATTCAGCTTTGGTTTAGCACCAATAGAATGCATTAGCTGCTAACTGTTAACATTTAGCATTGTTTGAGCTAGCTAGTTGCGGTGTTAGTCGGTTGCATTAGCATTGAGGAAGCTGGAAGCATCAGGGTCAGTTGTAGGTTTTTGTGTTGTAGTATTTCTGGCACCCAGTAAAAATAGAAACTGTGATAAATGATTTGCACGCACTGCAAGACGATCAAGACTAGCTAACTGTTAGCTGCTAGCAATACTAAAGTTAGCATCTGTTTCACGAAAGTTATGTCATAAATCAAATGAACATCTGCAGTATGAACTGCAGATGTTTTCTTGTAGTTAAAAATGAAACATTATGGCCCTCTAACCTGAAGTGGAAAACATTATACTCAACAAAGATGCTTTTAAAATGATCTAAGATTTGCTAAAAACAAACAAAAAGACTGTTTACCATGCCTTTGTTTATTTATATCTTAAATTTGAGTGCAAATATTGTGAAATTGTGGTATTTTTACTTAAGGCTGTCACACTGTCAGAATGCTATAGTGACCCACACCTAAACTGGGGTGGAAATCAGTTTTCCCAAATGCTAAATTACAAAAAAGTACACTTAAATTCCTAATGAGTATATGTCTTGTGTGGTCGGTGAAATTGCATTAGAGTTCCCATTTTTAGGATGAGATCACTGCTTGTATTGAGCGGCTGTCGCATGCGTGAGAGTTATTTCTGTTAGTCATTCCTAGCCCAGAGAGGTTTCAAAATGTCATGCAGTAAAATAGCTTGTAATGATGTTTTTGAGTGCTCTTGTTTAAGCTTGAAATTTAATCTGCCAGCAACTAGCACGCTAAAAAGCTAAAGTTCCTGTGCTGGGTTTTTAGGTGTTGGACACTGTGGAGGGAGGTGGGGAACACCAAAGCTTTAACTTGATACTTGCCAGAACACTCTTGTTCTGAGTGCTAGAATAACTAGCTGCAGGTTTCAACAATGTAGAGGATGATTAGGGATCACGTTACCACTGACTCGGTGCAGTGTTAAGCAACTGCAAGCAGTTATGAATCAGGACTTACTGTAAAGTTTTGATGAGTGTTGCATTTCAAATAATGGTTGCCCTGATTGCAGGGAAGTACTGGCAAGGGATCAAACAAATGTCTCCTGGTAAAATGGAAAGTTGAATGCCTGAGAACAAGGTGAAGGCAAAGCGAGAAAAAAAAAATCCACTGGAGTGACTCATGCTCCTTGCTTTCTTTGTGTGGAAAGTGAGCAGGGGTTTTCCTTTGGAGCAGGTTTGTTTACCATGAAGTCATCACAGCGAAGACGGACTCACTGGCACTTCAGAATTTTTCAAATGCCTCCATGCGGCGCTGCAAGGAGCTGTGCAAGTACAACAAGTGATACTTATGTCTAGTAGTGGATGCTCGAGCACCACAAGTGGATTTCATTTTCTCTCACTTTGCCGATGCTTTCGTTCTCTCATAACTGTTGTGCATGCTAGGGTGAATGTGTAAACCGATATCGGTGTGAGCTTGATCCACCCTGGACTGGACAAAACGTGTTTCTGGGAAAATTGAAATGTAGATGGGCCTTTCAGAGTTGGACTTTTTTGTGCCTTGTGCTGGGTACTTGAAAAGCTTCAGATCTCTGTCATAAGTTACTTAAATTAGTCTAAAATTGAAACGTTTCCTTAGAATGAGGATGTGCATGTTTTTCTATGAACTTCCACATGATCTTTGGTGTTTTTCTGCTGTTTTGTGAGCCCTCAGCTTGCCCACTGGCCCATACGTCTGTCTTTCTAATCATAGGGAGACCTCTGCACCACCTCAGGCTTATCTGTTAATCAGATCAGCAGTCGTGCGTTGACAGAATTTTCTGGTGGAGGCTTTGTTAGCCATTCTAGAGAAAAGAGGGGGATGAAATGTCACTGGGAGGACGGGTGAGTCTTTGGGAAACGGGGAAAGTTCTCCAAACGTTGGCAGTATTGCCACATCCAAGACTCATTTTTGTGATTATTCAGGTCCAGCAGTGAATGAAAAGACTTGGATAGCATAGGTTTGGGGCCAGAAAATTGAAACTTGCAAATAAATATGCATGTCCTAATTATTACCAATGATTATTTTTATTTAATTTTTTGTTGTGTTGATTTTCACTGACACTTCTTATCTCTCTGTCTCCCTTCTTCCTCAGAGGTCCTATACTTTGATAGTGGAGGCCTGGGACTTTAACAATGAAACCGGTGGTGAGTATTTCTTTCCATCTGACATCTACGTCCTGCCCTATTTTCTCTTTACTGTCTTTTGGCCGTCCTTGTGGCAGCACCTGGGAGACATTATGTTGAAGGTCAGGGAAGGAAGTTTATCCTTCCCAAACCCCACTGCCCTTTTCCTCAAGATCCACAGGCTGTTTTTTTTAAGTGTGCTGACAGGTGCTTGTGAGGGCAGGAAGAAGAGATAGTGAGGCAGAGGAGGGGAGCCTCATTGCCCACACCGGCCTATAAAAATGTTTTTATATGGCCGATGACTGATGGCAGGTGCTGCCAGCTGAGGTCGGGGTCACGCTGTCTCGCTATCAATGAGGCATAAAACACAAGAGTTCATCCAGAACGTGCAGCCCGGCCTGCAGTCTCCACACAGGGGTCCGTGGCCTCTGAACCGTGCCTTCTCGCAGATTAAAGTTCCTGCTGGTGCAGGTGAGCTCGGAGCGCGCTCACTGGGAAGGACTCTGTGCGCCATTCAAAGACTCTGCACGTTTTTCTCACGAGTGTGGGAATAACATGGTGGTGACACAAGGCAGAAATCTAAATACTGGCTGCTGTTGGGACTTCTGCTGGCTGGTGGTCAGGTTGGACATGGTGTGGTGACCTGCATTGAGGGCCGGGCCTCAGCTGGAGTGTGTTGTCTGAACTCGACGAGGTTTCGGTCTTTTCTGCTGCATTTGCCGCTCCCCAGAGAACCATTAGGACACTAGTGTGAAAAGCCCCCTGAATGCGCTCTCACTGTTGGTTTAACTTTTTATGGTTGGCAGGGCAGCTCACAACTCTGCTACATTCATGTGTCTGGCTGAGTTTGATAGTTTTCTTAATTTAAATGACGACTTTTAAGGAATCCCAATAGTCAGAGTTACTAGAAATGCATCTTATGAAGACTCAAATCTAGCCATTTTCAGGGTTTGTGATGCGTTTAAAAGTAAATTCAGAGAGAGGGCATGAGAGTTTATGAAAATAACAGACTGAATTTATTACAACAGCGTTGCTCCGTTTTTTTCTTTTGAGCTAAGCTTAGTGTTTGTCAGTTGTGGCACATACCCAATCTGTAAATGCTGACATCCTTTTTTAAATCTGAGTAACTTTAAAGATCTCGGTTTTCTGACGAATAGGCTCAGAGATTTCTAATTTAGTAATACCAGCCATACTAAATGTGGCATTTACTAATTTAAGATGCTAAAATTAATCTGATTGATGCATCGCAATTCAAATGTGACATTAAAAATTGGCCATAATTCTTTCTTAATTTTTTTTTTTTTGTAATTGGGGAAAAAACATTTAAATTAGGAAGTACTGGAAGTACTTCTCTGTCTGGAGCACAGAGAAACAGGGCGCTGCCGCTTCTTTACCAGTTGATGCTCACCAAGTAAAAAGAAACAATTCGGAGAAACTTTCGTCACAACACATGCAGGTAGTCATGGTGCAGAAACTAAAGGAGTGCCACCCATTGCTCTGGTGAAGCATACAGTTGGCAGATATGCACAACAGGTGTTGGGGAGATTAGACAGGCTACCTGGACAGAACGAATCACCAACTAATTAACTGGCTAACATCAGCAGGAAAAACGTTCTGAACAATATGCACTTAAAAATTAATTCACCATCCAAGTTTCTCAAGATCAAAATGCCAATGAGGAAACGTTAGATATGTTGCACCTGTAATAAGCATGTTTTAGTAGCCACAGACATAATGGCTTGTTTAAAATTTGATGTGAAGCTGGCATATCATCAAGGTTGTCAAACTGTCTCATGACAAACCGATGCCTAATTTACTGTGATTCTCATGTTTTCAATTCTGTCGTCACTCCAAAGTGTTAGAACAGGTGTTGCTTTTAGGTAACATTGAAATCTTGAAAAGAGAATCCATCGTCAGAATGATTTTTATGGAGCTGGCGTGATTTATGTTGGGCCCCGCGGCAGGCAGCAGGTAGCGCGGCTCTGCTACTCCTGACACCGCAGGCCAGCAGGCGGTAGAGAAATGCCACACAGCTCCGCTCTGGATCCCACGGTGCTGCGAAATGTTGCCGGGCACTGCGATTTCAGAATCCACCCGCCAACCGCCGCAGCGTGGTGAATAAATAACGGCGCACACACACACACTCGACGTTGCATCACACTACAGAGGGAGCGAGTCACCTCGCGGTCACCCACCTCTGCTCTCGTGTGAGCCACAGCAAATAATGACTGACATCTTTTTCATTCTCTCCCAGGTGGAAGATTAGACATCAGGTAGTGAGTCGAGTGCTGCATGTGAGGCAGAACGAGTAGCATTTCATGTGTGGAGCTTGTAAGCAGACGGCGCCGCGTCTGGAGATTGGGCCCAGTATGTTTGCTCAGTTCGAGTGTGTTTGCTCTCTGTGTGAAGCTCATTACTCCTGGCACAGTCAACCCATAAAACGTTCTCTGTGTCTGAGAAGATTCTGAGTTTATCATGATTTTGAGTAAAATACTCACAGCATTCATGTACAGTTTTAAAACAAAAATATAAGCCATATAATCACCTCGGACTTAAAAGAAAACGGCAAAAGAAAAAAAAAATCCCCACAGCTCCAGAAATGATTATAATATTGATTTAATACAGTTTTATTAATGTTTTATAACATAACTTATCATTTTAAGTGTGATTATATAGAATAAACAACCACTAGAACTGCCAATTGTTTCTAAATCAGAGTGATTGGTTGCACTTGTTTAGTTTTTTTTACACCCTTACTGTCCTGATGAACAAGTCTCCAAGTAGATACATTTGTTTTCATGCACAGAAAGAAGCATTTGTTTATCAGCCAGCTGAGTGGCGGTGCTCAGCAACTCGTGGAAGGGGCAGCGCAGCTTTACTTTATGCTTCATACAGCTGAAAAACACTTAAGTAGTGAATCGAGTTGCACAGAAAATGTGTCCAATTTGTAGAATGGTGAAATTCGGAGATGTAATGAGTTACTGGCTGTGGAGAGAGAAAAGGAGGATGTGCAGCAAATGACACAGGATTGGTAACTGAGCCAAGGACAAATGTGAATTTGATGTTTCAGTCTCTTTGTTATGGAACATCCAGGATTTAGAAAAGTTGGCAGCCTTTTGGAAATCTGAAAGTTAAGCGTCTATGTTCTGTAAGGTACACACGCAGACTTGGAGATGTGTATCATCGTTTTGTTTGCTATGAAATGGTGAATGCTGTTTTACATCAGGTCATAAGGTAGTGCTGGGTGATACGGGTTAAAAATCTCCAGGTTTCTCATACAATGTCTGATTTTAATTGATGTTCTTCCCCCTAAAAAAATATACAGCATCATAAAATCTCAGTTAACCCAAAGTTGAAAAAAATCAAAGCTGTAAATATGCTATAGTTCTTAGTTGGCTGATATCACTCTAAAATATGAAATATGGAAACCCCAAGAATGCATTGGTTAAAAAAAATCTAGATTTTCCCAGAATTAAATCTTCAAAAACAGAAATGTTATTAAATTGACCTATTGCCCAGCTCTTCAATGCTTATTCTGACAGTTGAAATTTTCTCATAAGTAAAATCAAAGTGTGGCTGTGTTTGAGGGAGCTGAACGGCAGTGTACAGCAACACGTGGGGGAGGGGCAACACTGTTAGTCTGTGCTCCCCTCACCTGGAGCTCTCATTATAGGAATTTAACTGCAGGAATGGTGTGACATAAAACTTTTAGTGGCCTGTGTTAACTAGCAACATTGGAGAGACAGAGTGTGTGGAAGTGTTGATTTTAATACTTTCTGTTAACAAAAAAAAAAAAAAAAACATCTGAAAGAGGCTGGGGAAAAAGTCCCAAAGGCATGCTGGCAGGCCTCCCAGCAGTGACTGAGGCATCAGTGTCCTCGCACTGTAATTTATGGCGGCTGTGGTTCTGTCCTCGCCTGAGCAGATGCAGAGAGCAGCATCAGAGACCAGTATTATCCCTGGGCTGTAAAGCTCCGGATCAGAAACCCAACCAGTGGGAGCTGGACAGGGAGCGTGAGAAAAAAAAGCAGTTAAAGCGCTCATTACAGGCATCCTTTTCCCTTTTTTTTCCTGCATTTCCTCCTTGTACTTTTCTTCCTTTCTAGCACACATAGTTGCCTTAATTACATATAATCTGCTATATCAGAGATCTCCTGCAATTTGTGTCAGAAATTTTTGAGGCAGTTTCGGGTTCCCAATTTATGGTCGAGAACTTAACAACTTAACAACACCCAATAGCACAATGTCGGACGTTGCACTCTGCACAGCTGTTCTCTTGAGCATCTGAACAACAGCGAAAAAGGGTTCTCATTGTGCCGATGTCGATGTGTTGTAGGTTCCGACGGGAAGCTGATAGAGAAAGCCTCTCACTCGGGCATGATCAACCCAAGCCCACAGTGGCAGAAACTGATTCACAACGGCCCGGTCGCTCAGTTCGAGTACGAAATCCGGGTCAGCTGCGACGAGCACTACTACGGCTTCGGCTGCAACAAGTTCTGCCGACCCAGAGACGAGTTCTTCGGACATTACACGTGCGACTACAATGGAAACAAGACCTGCCTGGAAGGCTGGTCTGGACCTGAGTGCAACACAGGTAAGCCCAGCGGAGGTGGCAGGCTTAAGCACGTCACTGCGGTGGAAAATGGTGACGTAGCTTCAGGCTTTTCTGCTGATGAACAAATCTTTAAAAACTTCATCACGCAGACTGTGTAATCTGTGATTCATGCTGATGCATTGTCTGTTTCATTCAACAATGCCTTTTTTCAGATCTCTCTCCGTCTGTAAACGTTTCAAGTTTATCTGTGTTTATTCGTCTGTACAGAAAACGATGTTTCATAGTAAAAAAAAAAATAAAAAAAAATCAGTCTGCACAGTAGTCAGTAAAATGATTAGACATTTTACTGTGCTATAATCCTGGGTGTTGGCAGCTGTGTTTATTCATACAGACAGCATAGTAATTACATTTACTGCTTTAATTACAATGCAACCAAATCCAGCTAAATTTAAATCTAGTTATGTTTTTAAATGATCGTCTTCTTCTTCTAGCTATTTGTCGACAAGGCTGCAGCACTGAACATGGATCGTGTAAGGAGCCAGGTGAATGCAAGTAAGTGTCTCGAGTTGCTATGTTCAGTTTATCCTCCTGAAATGAAAATGATCTCCTTTAATTTGGGATGTTCATAAAATTGCCCCTTTTTATACCATCTCGCTCATAAGTATTGAGGTTGTTGTAAGTTCTGCTTATCAAGAGTTTAATACTGTATGTACAGGGCCATCAAAAAGTGTTCATCTTACTTGAATTTTTGCACATTCTGTCACCTTTCTCATGTTTTGCGTTGTATTTTATTGGGATTGCATGTTGTTTATCAGGCTGCACAGTGGCGCAGTTGGTAGAGCTGTTGCCTTGCAGCAAGAAGGTTCTGGGTTTGATTCCCTGCCCCGGTCTTTCTGCATGGAGTTTGCATGTTCTCCCTGTGCATGCGTGGGTTTCCTCCCACAGTGTGAGTGTGGTTGTGTGTCTCTGTGTTGCCCTGCGACAGACTGGCGACCTGTCCAGGGTGTACCCCGCTTCTCACCCGGAACGATAGCTGGAGATGGGCACCAGCAACCCTCCCGACCCCACCAAGGGACAAGGGTGCAAAGAAAATGGATGGATGGATGTTGTTTATCAGCTCAAAGCAAAAAAATGCAATTTGGAAGTGGAACAATTAGGAGGCATGCATTACAAATAAAAATCTAGAAAGTGTTTGCATTCAGCTCCTTTTACTCTAAACCCGCTATCTAAAATCAAAGACAACCAACTGCAATCAGATCTTGGCACTGTGTATACATTTTTTTGCGGGGGGGGGGGTAGGGATGTGAGGGGAGCTCCAGGACAGTTTCCAAGGCCTTAACTGAGTTTTGGATTGAAGCTGCTAGACTGGGCCAAGACAATGCTAAACAGCCACAATTCAGTGCTAAAAAGTGTCATCGATCCGCTTACGGGGCAAAAGTTATCAGTCAAATCTGGTTCAGCATTTGGATGAGCCTTTTTTTTGTGTAGCTAATGGCTTCTAATGCTATTTATTCACACAGCCAGAGGAAAAGCTCCAGCACAGATGGGTATCAGAGGCGCAGTTATATCTCCTCGTCCCGGAGGAGGTCCTGGTGATCAGCTCATTGCACAGATCAGGATTTCACTGCTTGCTTTAGCTGTCTGATTTGGCCATAACTCGCTCACCAATGGATGATCGTGTTTGCTTTTTGCAGCTTTGTTGTGTTTCCCAAGCTTTTGACTGAATCAGATTTCTTGTAGGAGCCTGAAGTATTGGCAGAACAAGAGGTTGACTCGCTTTAGTCTTCTGACAGGTGTGGCTATATTTAAAGCTCAGGGTTTAAACTCTTGAAGCTAGGTCCTCTGTTATTGTAGTCAGTGAGCCGTTTCCCACCACTGGGGCGGTTGTGGTGTGTTTAATAACAGCGGTACATAGCAACACTGGTTTCAGGCAAGGGCAGCCTCCTTGTTCCTAGTTTAATGTCTGCAGTTCCTCAGCAGATGATATTCCTGAGGGTGTTTTTTTTTTCTTCTTTTTTCTTTCATTTCAGTCCCAGTCCTCTTAGAAAGCTATGAAGGAATTTGCTGATGCAGATTCAGTAGCAGGGTCCAACATAATGTCCCATTTAGGCATGGACTAATATGACGAGATTCATAGTATTGTTGTATTTGGATAAAGAATAAGAACCAAAATGATTTCCATTGTTTAACTGATCTGATCTATTACACAGAATATTCAGAATTATGCAGACGTTATTGTAGGTATTCAATGTTAGAACATTTAAGTCGTTTCCGAAAAGATGTTAAACCACAGGAATGATGAGACTGTATGTATGATGATGCATCAACATATCAGCTGTTAGCTGGAATTCAGCCTAATCGTCTCAGACCAGTCGGAAAACAAAAAACAATCCTCAACACTCCTCAGTGTGGATGCTGTTATAAAGAGTCAAAAATTTGATCAGTGAGGATTTAAAATGGTCATAAAATGCTTAGAAGGTCTTTATCAAACATGTCCAGACATGTTTGTGATTTATTCGCGCTGCAAGAAGGCGAGGGAGAGCAAGACTTTCAGCGGAAAGCCGGAAGGCTAAACGGAGTTTGTTTCATTCTTCTTTGATCTTTAAGATGCTGGAATTGGGAATGGGATTGCATCACAGGTGCCCGCTATCAGGCTGTGCCAATACTTCAAAATTCCTTTTACTAAGTGAAGAAAACTGAAATTGCATTATGAGAGATCTGAAAAACTATTTGAAAGGAGTGTGTTTTCTATGACGTGTTCAGGCATATCTGTGGTTTATTTAAACTGACAAAGAAAAATACTTTTAGCAGATAGTGGGAAAGCTGAACAGTGGGAAAGCTTTGAGCTTAAAACTTTTGTTATCGATTTGAAATGCTTAGAAATGTTGGTATCCTTTAAATCAAGGTCTGTTTTGTAGGGAATTGCACACAGAAACTACAGGGGGTTTTGTGCTGCTAATAAAACATGCTACAGGCAGTCACATTCACTGTACTAACTAAGTAACTTGAGCTTCTGCTTGAAACCTTCCGATAGAGGATTCGCCCATTTTCAAGAGCGCAGAGTGGACTGGTGTTTACTTAAGCATCATGTTTATTTTTACTTTCCACCCGTTTATTTTTTTTTTTTTTAGGCTAATCAGTGCGCCGCTGCTCCAGGGGGACGCTGTTTCCTGTCACTATAGGCTCCACAGCAGCAACAGTATCGCAGCTCCGCCACCTCCAAAGCGCGGACAAATCAGTCACGCTGTTGCAATTATGGAGCCGAGAACAAAAAGGGCAACGTTATCGGTGTAATTATGGACTCTAACGTTTGAGTGGTCAGCAAAGAGTTTGTCCTCCTCCTGCTCTCAGCCTTGAGGCGCAGGCCTGCTCACTGACTCATGGGAACCAAGACGGGCAGCAGTGAAACAGCTGAAAGGAGGGCCGAGCGCTCCTCTCTGTGTTAGTGACGCCAGTGCCAAGCCGCAGGCACAGCATCGTTAAAGGGAACGTCTGGTCGCATGCTAATGTTAGCCACCCCAAAGGTCCCATTGGAGCTGTAATTTAGTGTTTTTCTTTGTTTTCTGTTTGGTTAAAATGCTAAGGCACCCATGTCTCCTTGTGCCCAAGTATTGTAAAAATGCAGTTGCATAAACACTCGGCTGCTTAAAATTTATTTGTGGTGTTTATTCTTGTGTGAATACTGCCTCTTTGTTTAGTCCGTGCAGCTCCTGGGCTGCTAATGCTGCTGTGTACTTCATTAGGATCAGATTATTCGGAAGGAATCTGGAATAAGTGGAGGATTAGGATATTTGCAGATGCCATGGGGATTTTCTGGCCTTGTTGTAAATAACATTCTGCATGTGCGGGAGTTTTTTTATTTTTGACCTCTCGTCTCATTTCTGATTGTGTTGCAGGTGTCTGTACGGATGGCAGGGCCTGTACTGCGATAAATGCATCCCCCACCCGGGCTGTGTGCATGGCACCTGCGTTGAACCATGGCAATGCCTGTGCGACCTCAACTGGGGCGGCCACCTCTGTGATAAAGGTTAGTTCTCACTCTCCTTAGTTTCGGCTGCATTGACAGTTGCAGTGGCTCTCAAAAAGGAACACGTCCCGGTTTAAGGTGGCAGGTTTTTGAAATGTAAAAACAATGATAACCACCTTAAATGTAACCCATGTCATTCATAATGCAACAAAAAAGCAAAACAAATCTATTGGGATGAAAATTCTAAATATTAAGCTTCATAAACTTGATTGTCCAAGTTTGTGCACCTTTAAATATTTTATTAAAGCAAACGTTTTCGTGACGGTGTTCATTAAATCAGATGGTGAGGACATGTCTTGTTTTTAGCCCCTCTCAGAGACCATACAAATATTTGTAAGAAAATGACATCAAGCTGTCCTAAAGTTTTAATTTTCTGCTGATGAATCCATAATTATGTCAGTTACACCTCAGAGCATTATGCTGCCACCAGTGTGTTTTGGGTTTTTTTTCTGGTTAACACACTGCTGTTTTTGTGCCTAAAATACACTTATGAATTGTTGTAAAGAAATTCTGTGTGTGACCCAGACATATACAGGTGCTTTATGGTTCATGTGGAAGATCACAAATATTTGACCCATATTTGGTCACTCCCCGTGCCAAAGTGTTGGAATATTTACCTAGAAGTGATGCAAAAATACTTTGTATTCTTTTTCTGACTGATACATTTGTACAATAAGATTTTGTGTAATTTATCTGCCAACTATGGTTTTAAAAAAATTGCAAAAATGCTGAACTTTATTCAAGGTTTCAGTCAGATGAAATCTAAATGTGTCTGAACATTTATTAGCTTAATCACTTTTGCACGTTTTTTTATTTTCAATTTTTTCCCCCTCTTGAGTTGTTTTCAGTAGAAGTGTCACGTTAACGTTGCTCTCTGTTAAGGTCACATCAATCTGGCTATTGATAGACTATAGAGCTGTGGCCGTTTTAAAACCTCATTTCTTCTCTCATCCAGATCTGAACTACTGCGGCACTCACCAGCCATGCTTGAATGGAGGAACGTGCATCAACACAGGACCTGATAAGTACCAGTGTACCTGCGCTGAGGGCTACTCCGGAGCAAACTGTGAGAGAGGTGAGGCTCTGGGGACGGATTTTCTCGAGGGGTTTCAGAGTCACGTTTGCAGCTGCAGAGAGCTAGAAGGTTTGGGCTCCGTGAGCCTGCAGACTAGAGGTCAGAGGTGCTCCGGGTTTGTAATCAGAGGAGGTGGTAACTTGCAATAATCTGTTTCCACTTGAGTGTAAGTGCCGCCCTCCTCCTCCAAGTCAGGTAATCCACCGATGTTGATCTCCAGAGGCCGGTTGTCCTTTTAGCTTCTTCAGATGAATGCGGTGCTAAGGTTCAGCTATTGTGAACACTTACCATGGAGATGGTTATTTTCCTCATTAAATCTGAGCCTCGTGAGGTGCTGACAGCTTAACTGCGGGGATGTCAGGAAACGATGCCCTTTGTAACGTGAGGTCTGCTGACCGGGGCTATGGTAGCCCCTCCCCCCTCCTCCTGGCATACCAAGAGATGATCACCCCTCGCTGCTCTACTCGTTTCTGGAGTAAATCATTCATTTCTGATTCATTTGGGACGCGCTCATCCCTAAACCCGTCCGCGCCTCTCCGGTAGAATGGCGGGGAGTCTGAGGGAAGTCACGCTGCACTGGTCAGGTCAGCATAGCATGAAGTACGGTTTCCTGGCGGACGGCGCTGTTGAGGCGGGTAGTGAGAGGGAGATTGGGGCGGGTTTTTAACGGCGGGCTCTTGGAGCGGGGGAGGATGATCTATGGATGTGTTGTGGTGATAAAGGAAGGAATTTTGGCTGACTTAGTAAATTGGGATTTTATGTGATAAAAAAACAAATATTACTGCACAATTGTGACGTGGAAGGATGAGAATTTTATTTTTTTGATGTTGTTGGTATGCATTCATATTCACTCCCTTAACTTTGAGACCCGTAGTGCGATTCTCTGCGTCCCTTTTCCACAATTCGAGAATAGTACAGATTTATTTCACTAGACTGACGGTGAAATGCTTAAAACTAAGTGAAGTGGAATTTACTTCACTTGGAAACAAATTAAAAGAGTAAAATTAATCACTTTAACACCAGCCCAAACTATTAAACTTTTAATAACCATATTTTTTTATGTTCATTTGACAGAAGGTAACACCACAAACATCCAATATCTTTTACTCTGAGGTAGAATTGAGCGCATTCATTTATTAAAAAAAGACTAAATAAGAGGGTTTAAAAAATAACAACATATTTATAACTATATATATATATATATATATATATATATATATATATATATATTTTTTTTTTTTTTTTCTCCTTTTGTGGCCCAGGTAGAAAAACATTTGCACTAAAGTAGAACCCAGTTAAACCAGCAGGCTTCAGAATATACATTCCATCCATTCTTCACTACTTTATAGTGATCTAACACATAAAATCTACTTGTAACGTGACAAAATGAGAAAAATGTATTTCTATTGTATAAAACAATGCGTTTCTTATGCAACTTGTAAAAAATGTGTTTTTTTTTTTTTTTTTTTTAGCTGAACACGCCTGCCTCTCCAATCCGTGCTCTAATGGAGGGAGCTGCTCAGAAACCGCTCAAGGCTACGAGTGTCAGTGCGCGCCGGGCTGGAGCGGCCCGTCCTGCACCACCAGTAAGACTGAATCTGCAACGTCTCAACAATTAACAGAATCAAAGAAAACGTAATTCCAGCTTAACCATTTCCACCTGCTGTTGAGCAGATGTGGACGACTGCTCCCCCAGCCCCTGTAACCACGGCGGGACGTGTCAGGACCTGGTGAACGGCTACAAGTGCCACTGTCCTCCGCAGTGGATGGGGAAGACGTGTCTGATAGACGCCAACGAGTGCGACAGCAAGCCCTGCGTCAACGCCAACTCCTGCCGCAACCTGATTGGCAGCTACTTCTGCGAGTGCCTGCCTGGTTGGACGGGGCAGAACTGTGACACCAGTGAGTTGAAAGCTGCAGCTGTTGAGCAGGACACAAGTCCAACTCCTGGCTGGTGTTTAGAAATAATTTCCATTCAGTCAGTCCGTGCTGAATTTACAGCTGCAACATGAAGGCATGAAGCAAAGCAGTGACGCTTGTGCAGTGTAAACTTGTCTGCAGTTCAATTATTAGACTTTTGTGTGCGTGTGCGTGTGTGTGTCTGTGGTGATTAGGACGGTCTCAAAACAATCTGAGCTTGAGTTTCACTTGGCAGCCGACTGGATTGCTCAATACTCTTGTTGTGCACTTTTGTTTTTCCTTTTTCCCTTTGCATTCCCATCATCCACGTCGTGCACTTTATTCTCACAACAATGTTTTTAAAGGCCCCGGGCGTGAGGAACATAAAGCAGAGACTTGTTTTCTAAGACTAACTATTTACCAGAGCTGTTTAGAATTAATCCTCTGATTTGTTTTTTTTTCCCATGCAGACATAAACGACTGCAAGGACCAGTGCCTGAATGGAGGAACCTGTAAGGTAGGTGACGGGTCAGAAACCATCCGGCTCGGTCGGGTTGTAGCTTCGACTTAATAACAGAGACGTTTACGTGGGCGGTTGTAAAGACAACGGATATAAAAAGTTTACACGCCTATTAAAACTTGATTGGGGTATGCCTGGGCCTTTCAAAAAATGTTTATTCTTCTTCTGGTGAAGACATGTTCTTTGGGGCGTTGTCTTCATCTTCAACCTTCTGAAGTTTGGTGGTTCAGTGCAAACATCGGGTTCTATCTGACTGCAGTTCCAGCTTAAGGAACATCTATTGCATGGTTTTGGTGCTGGCACCGCCATACATAATCTTTTTGAATTGCGGACTAAATGTCATCACAGTGTCATGTTTTTGCAGACTTCAAATAAGATTTTGTTTTTCCAACTGGTTTTCTTGCCACACCTGCCACTCAGTTTTTTATTTTGTGAAGAATAAAGGAGATAGTTGTTACTGGTTCTACACAACCAGCCTCTTTAATGTTGCTGTCGGTGTCTTGGCGTCCTCTAGGATCCGTTGTTTCATAGACGATGTATCGACCTCCTTGGTAATGCCACAGACGTACCAGGTTTTCACCCTTTAATGCTGGCTGTGTTCACAGTGATTTATATCTAATGTTTTGAAAACAATGTTCCGCCTGTCTCCTGATTGACCTTTGACATAGCGATCCGCCTGGCGCTTTTAAGCTCTAAAGATTGACTGAGGAAATGTCAGAAAACGTCTACTAGAGTTTCTGTCAGGTGTGTCTTTGGGAATCTGTGCCTGCTGAGATTTAGTGTAAGGCCAAATGTTAACTTATGACTTTTTTTCCCCCAGATTAATTAAGAATCTTCAGTTTGCTTTCTTACTAAAGCTTGAAACAGGATCTTGAAACCTGGCATTTTAACAGTGGTGTGTAGACCCTTACAATCCGCTGCAGCTGAATCAGATTTCCTGAAACCAGAGGCTGAATTGTTTCTGTTAAAAATTATAATCAGGAAAGTGTCTTGAGAGGTTTTAAAAGGAGGAACACGCTTTTTCTCCAGCTCACCAGATTAAATTACAGTGAGCTCCACTCGGTTGAGCCCGTACTAGGAAAATGTGTTGAAATAATCGTAACATCACCGCCCACCCCCGTCGTTCCCGCTTCAGCTTTGCTCCCTGGTTTCTCACAGTTATTGTTTGGGCTCCACTCAGCTGGAGCCATTGGTCACATGCATCCGACGTTGATCTGAGTTTGTGCCTCTCTCAGGACCTGGTGAACGGGTACCGCTGCACGTGCGCCCCCGGCTTTGCTGGCGACCACTGCGAGAGGGACGTGGACGAATGCGCCAGCTCGCCGTGCCTGAATGGCGGCCGCTGTCAGGACGAGGTCAACGGCTTCCAGTGTCTGTGCCTGACCGGCTTCTCTGGGAACCTGTGCCAGGTGAGACGTCCGCACGAACGAAGCACGAGTCCTAAAGGCGTAGGTGGATATGCTAGAAGGAAGAGCATTGGAAAAAAAATAAAGTTTTTTAGTCTTTATGCAGTTGGGAAGAGGATAAATGTGATTTTTTTTTTTTTTTTTTTTTTTTTTTTTAACAAATACTCTGCTCCAGCTAATCGAATC